AAATGCAAAATGTCAGATAATGAGATAGTCAATAAGTGAGCAGTAGGTGTACTTAGCAGGTCTACTCTGCACATGTGGGGTTACCATGAGTCGGAATTGACTCGAAGGTAACTAACAACAACAAATCTTTTATCCTGCTCAGAATTTTTAATCTCAGTTATTGCACTTTTCAACTCTAGAATTTTCATGTAGGTTTTTTGTTTTTTTAATATAATTTCTATCTCTTTATTGATAGTCTCTATTTGATAGGTCGTTGTTGTCATAAAAAAACCAGTTGTTGTCGAGTTGATTCTGACTCATGGCTGCTCCATGCATGTCAGAGTAGAACTGTGCTCCGTAGAGTTTTCAATGGGTGATTTTTCGGAAGTAGATTGCCAAACTTTTCCATTCACAGTAGTACACATTAACCATTTGCACCACCCAGGGACACTGTTGTCATACTTTCCTTCAATTCTTTAAGATAGTGTCCTTTAGTTCTTTGAACGTATTTAATAGGTGCTTTGAAGTCTGCTTCCGCTAAGTCCAACATTTAAGCCACTTCAAAGGCAGTTTCTTTTGACTTCTCTTTTTTCCTATATCATCATACTTTCTGTTTCTTTTCGTGCCTTCCATCTTTGTTGTTGAAAAGTGAAAATTATAGATAATATATTGATTCATATCCCCCAGGGATGTTGTTGTTGACCTCTGTTTGTTTGTTTTGTTATTGACTTGCCTGGACTAATTTTGTAGAGTGACTCCCTCACAGTGTGTGACTGCTGCTGTCTCTGCTAATTATTTTAATTATTGCTTTTCTTTTTAAGCTTTGTTTCTTAAGGATCTTCCCTGTGTCAGCATAGCTTAGTGGTCACCCTATGGGTCAGAGGTTGTGCTCAAACACTTTGAATTCATAAGGTTTCCACCTTTTGCCAATAGATTTTGGGGTTGGGAAATACATTCAAAGTTCAAGCAATTTGCTACTGGTCTGACAGAGACTGGAGAAACCCTGACGATATGGCCTCCAGACACCATTTTAGCTCATGGTTAAGTCACTTCTGAGGTTCGCCATTTAGCCAAAGTTGAGACAGGCTCATAAAACAAACAATAATACACGTAGCTCAACAATTTATATGAGACTAAATGGGTACATTAGCCCAGAGGCAAGGACAAGAAGGCAGGAGGGGATAGTACAGCTGGACGAATGGAAATGGGAAGCCCAAGGTCAAGAAGGGGAGAGCTGACACTTCACAGGGTTGGCAACCAATGTCACAAAACAATATGTGTATTAATTGTTTAATGAGAAGCTAATTTGCTCTGTAAACCTTCATCTAAAGCACTATTAAAAAATGAGAGCAAAGAGACACAGAGAATTTAACTGAACTATCCAAGACCTCACAACCACTGGGTAGCAGATTTGGTATTTTTAAACAAGGTCAAGTAGCTCTAGAGTTCGTCTGCTTAACCACTATGGTATACTGCTTCTGTAAACATAGATACAAATGAAAAACAAAACAATGCTATTAAAATCTAATTATATATTTAAAAAAAAAAAAAGTTCAGGCAGTTTGCAAGTTTGCCCTGACTTTTGCTGTCAGATCTAGTTTCTTGTGTCTTCTCTGCAGGCACGCAAGTCTTCACATTCAGCCAGGGACAGGTAGAAAACTAGAATTCTCTCTGATCTCTTCTGAGTGTGCTTAACTACTAACCTAAAGGTTGGCAATCCAAACTCACCCAGCGGCACCATGGAAAAAAAGACTGGCAATCTTCTTTCATAAAGATTACAGACAAGAAAACTCTATGGAGCAGTTCTACTCTGTAGCACATGGGTCCACAAGAATCGGAATAGACTCCATGGCAATGGACTCGGTTTTTTTTGGGGGGGGAGGGGAATCCCAAGCCAAAGGACATCTTCAAAAACAATAGCAACCTCAACATAAACGAATAACAGAGGTCAACTCCCCAGCTGCCTAAGGTTGTAACACTGGGTGGGGCAAGCAGCAGACCTACAGAATAGCCAGAAGATTTAGATGGAGAGCTTGCAGGTAAGATAGCCACAGTAAGCTTTGATAAGCTTCCATGTATCCCTGGCAGTCTGCACACCTATGCATGGCTGTACGCACAAAGGACCCTAGCCTTCTACATGCAACAAACCATAAGCCATGAACCACCCAAAGACCTCCAATTGGAGCCTCAGTGTCAACATGACCCAAACTGAACTGTGCATCCAACCTATCCATCCCAAACCTGCATTCTCTACCTTTGTGGATGGCACCATTTTATTGCCACCTGGTCACAATTCTTTGTTTGACTAATTCTGTTACCTTCATATTATCCCTGTTTCTCCACTCCTCTCCATCCTCATTGCCTTTGTTCAGGCCCAGAAATTCATCTGTCTTCTTGGTCTCATCATTCTCTGATATGTTCTCCAGTGAATTCCATGGGTATTTAGGGGATTTTCCTAAATGCCAATTTAACCACATCGCTCTCATTCTTAAAATCCTTCACTTGCTCGAAAAACAAAGGACAATTCCTCAGCCTGGCACACGTAAGCTTTCATAATCACATTATTATTCTCCTGTCTTGACTATTTCTTTCCTTTGGTCCCTAAGTGCCAACACACTCACTAATATAATACATTTCTGTAATACTACTCCATAGGTCTAATCTTGCACCTGTTTTAAGACTAACTTTCCAGTATGTTTTACTATGTGGTAAAGCAAGTACCCTCTTCAAAAATACACAGGATATTCTGTTTTTATTCTTTTAGATAAAATTTAAAACAAATATGTTAAATCTACCTGAACTTTCTGTAGCAATAGGAGGCTGCCACTCAAAATAACCCCTGCTCTTTCTCTACAGGTGATACAATTGATCCTTCATTTTCTAGCAAGAAGAAACGAGGTGCTGATGTTGGGGATCTAGTTTCCTTAGTCCTTGTTCTGCTTCTCTTCAAAGTACAGAACCTGTTTTCAGGCTGGAACCTTTCCCCAGGCAAACATATCACTCTGTTAAGAAAGAAATGTTTGGGTTACCATCATACAAGCAAATGCTCTTGAAGACTGAAACTCAGTAAAACCAGTGTTACCAATTAATTCTCTAATTAATTAATCAGTAAGCCATTGCCATTGCTTCAGTTCTGACCCAAGTGTGTCATAGTAGAACTGAGCTCCATAGGATTTTCAATGGCTGATTTTTCAGAAGTAGATTGCCAGGTCTTTCTTCCAAGGTGCCTTTGGGTGGATTTGAACCTCCAACCTTTTAGTTAGCAGTCGAGCACGTTAACTGTTTGCTCTACCCAGGGACTCCTCTAATTAATTACCCTTAAACATTTTGTATTTTTTCACTCTTAAGTTTATAGTATTTGTAGGCTTCTTCTTTTTTATTATTTTTCTTCTGAATATGTTTTGGGCTGTAGGTTTGGATCCATCTCATCTGATTTCTTTTTTGAAGGGCTTCTTTAAAATTTCTCTTCAGCAGTTGGAGCTTTTCATTGTTTTCCAGCATGATAATGGATTTATTCGTTTTTTAAACACATTTTTTTGGCATTTTAAATATTTTGGAGATATGAGCAAAATGTGCTCTTTGCCACCTTGATTTAGTCTTACTTAAACACTGTAATTTAAACAACTTTTCTAACTGCTCTCATTTTCTATTGTGCTCCTGTGACCAATAAGACATGATTTCATATAAGCCTTATTTCTTTCCCTCTCATCTCCCTCCTCAGGTTCTGTTGAAATAATATGGAATTTAATTCCTTGATTATTCTTACCTTTTATTTTTCCTCTTCTGGAGTAATTAACAAGTGTGATAAATTTTACCAGTTCATTTTAAACAATTATTCAGAGTTAACTATATATTTTTTTATAGTTTTATACCAATGTCTCTTGTGCCATTTATTTATTTAGGTAAAGTTTTGGTTTTACTTAGGTAATTTATCTCATAACACTTGGTGTATTCTTTGAATTCTTGAGGGGCTAACTATAGATTAATTTTGTCCTCCCAGGATAATGATAAGATGTCTGAATAAAGAATTCTAGAATCACCTCCTTTCCCTCAAAATTCTGAAATATTTCCCCACTGCATTGCCCATGAGGCATCTGTGCAGTTGAAGGCACCCCTTCCCTGTAAGTGACTAGTATTTTCTGCCTGAAACTTAGAAATTTTTTTTTTCCTTTGGAATTCAGAAATAATACCAGGATGGGACTGAGTGAGGGCTTTCTTTAATAATTCTTACCAGTATTCTATGTGCCCTCTTTATAGAAAGGTAGAGCTTTTGGGTTGGGTTTTGTTTTGTTTTCTCCAAAGGACTTTTAGCTCTTAAATCTTAATGTCTGGCATATTTCTTGGCACTAGATAGGCTCTTAGTAAATGCCAGTTGAATGAATATATGAAAACCAAACAAAGGAGTGGCACTTCAACCGCCTTCAGGCTGCAATGACGAACATAAATGAAAGGAACAAAAATAACTCAACACAGTAATTAATTCTTCTATAAACACTCCAGCCCCCTAGAACCACTTCCTTGCTTCCGACGAAGCTGCTCTCTAACCAGACACCACTGAGGGGGCATCAGTGCTCCCAGGCCATCAATTGTGACAGGAGGTCCCCTACCTGCCCCTGCCCTCTCCTTATCCTCAGGGTGAAGCTTGCTCACAGGTCTCTAGACACACTCATCTCACTTGGGGCAGAGTTGGAGGTCCAAGGCCCCTGCCTACTCACTCCAGACCCACCCATACAATGTAGATGAAAATCTACCTGCCAGCTACCTCATTACTTCCAAGTCAAGCCTGTTCATAGACCCCTTCCAACAATGGCATTGATTGGACCTGGGAAATAGAGAAACATGGCATTTTCTTTAGATTATCTGATCACTTGCACTGTCGTTGCTGTTACTTCTCCCCTACAGATAATGAAGACTTGCTCGTGGTTATACAGCTACACCCAGGATGCCTATTGTCTTCTGATAATACTTTTGAGAAGAACAGACTGAAGAGACAGAGAAGATTGTGAGGGGGCAGGGAGAACAGGCAGGATGGATGAGAAGAGCAAGAGTAGATTCTGGGGGCAGAAATAATGAGTAGAGAAAGGCAGGGAAGACAAGAGGGAGAAGGAGAAGCTGGGCAGCAAGGAGGAGGCAGAGAAGACCACAGAGAGATAAGCAACGGGAAGACTGCTGGGAGGATCACTGGGCACCACTGGGTACCTTCCATCACTTCTTTTCACAGATGAAGACATTGAAAACCCAAGTGTAGACTTCATTTCTCTAAGGCAAAGAGCTACTAACTTTTCCAGTCAGGTCGCAGGCTTCAGATTTAGTCTTTCCACAGCAGTGGGTACAATAACGGAGATCAGGAGGGTGGAGGCAAGAGTAGGGAGAAAATCTGGAAGCCAGATATTTGGGGGAGGGGAAGAGCAGGAGGGCAGCATAAGTGAGAGCTGGAGGGGAAATGAGAGATGCTGTGGGAGGCCTGTGGCTCAGGGAGGTAGTGGAGTTTCTCTGACAGGGAAGTGGGCAGAAGGAGACGTTGTCTGTGCAGCAAGGGAAGTCAGATGGGAGTGGGAGAAGGCGAGGGGAGGAGAGCTGGTATGTGACCTGTGAGGGCAGCTTGTCCTACTAGGTGACCTTCACCTCACAGAGTCTCAATGCTGCTCCTGCTGCTCCTGCTCTTTGAGGGAGTCCTCTGCCCTGGTGAAAGCACAGCAGGTAAGAAGAGCTCAGGTGGAAAACCACCTGTGGTTGGGGCACAGGTGAGCATAGAGCCATCTCTGGGAAGGATGGGGTTGGGGAGGGAACAATATTCTATAGGATGCTTTTGGAGTTGCATTCCAGGGTAGTCCTAGGCATGAATCCTTGCCCCAGTGTCAGATTCTCTCTCTGATTTTGAGGAGAAGATGCTGGCCTGGGGGAAATGGGCATTAGAATATTTGCAGCCTATCTAGCTCCATCCCTCCTTTCTTCTCTGGGCCTCTCTCCTTTCATCCTCTCACACTCTCTCCATTCATCATTCCTTTTGCAGATCCCCAGGCCCCAGGACCCCCTCATCCAGCAGGAGAAGAGCCCCTCAACTTCCGCGTGATCCAGATCTTCTCCTTTGCAAACCACAGCTGGGCACACACCCAGGGCTCAGGCTGGCTGGGTGAGCTGCAGACACATGGCTGGGACAGCGTCTTGGGCACCATCCGATTTCTGTGGCCCTGGTCCCAGGGAAACTTCAGCAAGGAGGAGCTGAAGAATCTCCAGGCTTTATTCCAGTTGTACTTTCATGGTTTCACCCGGGAAGTGCAAGCCTTTGCCGGCCAGTTTCAGTTTGAATGTGAGTTTATTGTTCCCCATTCATTGCTCTTTCTGAAGGCTCTACCATCTTCCAAAGGGGAAAGATGGTACAGGGACTCTATTACCCAACCTTCCTGATCTTATACCCTGTTACCTGTGTCTCTCTTTGCCTTTTCCCATCTCCTCCATATACACAGAAGGGCCTGCATGCACATATCTTTTCACATCCCTGAACATACCCTCAAGTGTGGCTCCTTGGAAGAATTGTCCCTGGCCTCAGACTCCCAACCAGGTTTCTGTCCTCCCTTCTCCCTTGCACTAGTGCTCACATGACTGGGCCTGCGTCTAATCACTCATCAGTGAGTCCTCTTGTAGACCAGTCTTCTATCTTCCTAACAACCCTCCCATCTACCCCTTTCCCATAAATTATCTCAGAATACCTTTGTTATCCTCAAATTATTTTCCCACAAATTCCCTCCCCAACTCTAGTCTCCCATTATGATTCCCCAGCAAATTTCCCTTCCTTTGAATCTCTTTACTCTCTAGATTGTTTACCTCCCTTTCCTGTAATTATTTCCAGACTGGTTCTCTCTCTCCTCCCCTCCCTGCAGATCCCTTTGAGCTTCAGATATCAGCTGGCTGTAGAATACGTGCTGGGGAAGCCTCAGAAAGCTTCTTTAAAGGGGCGTATCAAGGAACAGATTTCCTGAGTCTCCAAGGGAATTCCTGGCAGCCGTCTCCAGGAGCAGGGAGTCGGGCCCAGAATGTCTGCAGGGTGCTCAATCGCTACAGAGATATTAAAGAAATAGTGCAGGGCCTTCTCAGTAACACTTGCCCTCGATTCCTGGCAGGCCTCCTTGAAGCAGGAAAGGCAGAACTGGAAAGGCAAGGTGAGTCTGACTCTCTCTTTTCTCCTATTCCTAATGCTTTAATTCTACTATTTGGGTTTACCATTCTTTGTCATCCTTTTGAAATTCATAATGAGAATCTAGAGGATGGGATGTGTGGGTTTAGAATTGGTTCCTAGACAAGGGAAAGAAGTGATTATGCAAACTGCTAAGGCACCCTGGGTCCCTGAGCTCCGGCTTGGGGTCCCTGCTTGAATTCAATTTCTCCCTATCTCTCTTCAGTGAAGCCAGAAGCTTGGGTGTCCAAAGGTACTACTCCTAGTCCTGGCCATCTGCTGCTGGTGTGCCACATCTCCGGCTTCCATCCGAAGCCTGTGTGGGTGATGTGGATGCGGGGGGAGCAGGAGCAGCCGGGAACTCGGCAAGGTGATGTCCTGCCCAATGCTGACGGGACCTGGTATCTCCGAGTAACCTTGGACGTGGCAACTGGGGAAACAACTGGTCTATATTGCCGAGTGAAGCACAGCAGTCTTGGAGGTCATGATATAATCATCCACTGGGGTGAGAAAGAACTGGGGCCCAGTGGCGAAAGGATGGACGAAAGTCCTTAGGCTTTTAAGTGAGGAGTTAGGGAAATGGGTAGGACTGTTAGTCACGAGAAAAATAAGAGTTAGAGAATCCAGATAATGAAAGGTGGAGAATGATAGCAGTTAAATTTCAAGAAAGTGAAAGTAGGGGATTAGAAGTACTAAAGAGAGAAGACAGAAGGGCCTAGTGATTTGACAGAGAGATCAGTGATAAAGACTCTGGAGGAATTGAAATGTGGGCTCCAGAAACTACAGATGAAAATGCTGGGAAGCTCTCACTCCTGTGAAATGAGAAGCATTAACTGCAGTGAAATAGAAAGTATTATGGATTGACATTCATACTTTCCGCCAAACAGATGGATACTCCATACTCCTGATACTGATCTGTTTGACTGTCACAGTTACACTGATCATGCTGATTGTCCTTGAATTTTGGTTTAAAAAGCAGAGGTGAGCCTTTTCTCGTTCTTTGCTTCTTCAGCTTCTTAACTCATTCTTTCCTCTACTTTTTTTCCTTCTCGTTCTCTCTGATTTCTTTTCTTTTAGGTTATGGCCCTCTTCTCCTTTGTTCCCCACAGCTCAAGTTGTTACATCCTCTTTCGCCTTGTGCCTGACCTTGCCATGGGAGCCGACACCCAGGACCCCAGGGGTTCAGCACATCAGCTCTGCTCAGCCCAGGAATCATGGGCCAAAAACAGATACTTGAAGAAGTGGAAAACAAGCCTGAGCCAACTCTAGTGACATTAGTTTGATCTTCTTTATAAAATCCTTGTCCAGTTTTGCTTAACCGTAGATCAGACCCATAACCAAAGCATGTGCTGTTAAAACGCTTTTCCTGGCAGAGATCCTGAGCCTTTAGAAGTCTTTTTTTTTTTTTTTTAAACTATCTGCTAGCAATAGGTTTTCTGCTTTGGCCATATGTTCATCACTATTGATCCCTCGTTGATACCTGTTTGTAATTCAGATTCCTCTTTCTCCAGGAAGTGTCCCTGGATTGCCCAACTGCAAGCTTTTTTGTATTCCCATGATTGAATTTATCTTGCTTAAGGTGCTCATCTCTTCCTTCTCTGAGTGGTAGTTATTTGGGCTTTAGCGCTTCTATTTTTTCTCAGTTGCTTGAGAGAAGGATTCACCTGTTCGTATCTGTATCCATGACCAAAAGCCTAGAATTCAGGGCTGGCTTCATGGGCATGTGACCTGTGCAGTAACACAGGCCCCCTTGATTAGAAGGGCCTCCTGTTTGGTTTAAGGCTCTCTTGCTGCTGTCTTAACATTCTTAGTAATACCCAAACAAGAGGCACTTCATTTTCATTTTTCACTGGTCCCATGAATTATGCAGCTAGTTCTGCTTAATGTAATATTTCTCAGTCAATCCTGGCTGCAATAAATTTATCATCAGGGAAAGTGATGTTGCTTTGATTCATTCCCTCTTTGATATTTCTACCTCATTTGACTGTGCTCTTCTGAAAACGCTTCCTCTCTCCCCTTGCTTCCCACCAAAGGTGAAGGAGGCAGGTGAGTGCCTCAGATCCACAGTGATTCAGTTGTTCGTCATCTTCAGAGATAGCTAAAGGAAATAATAACACATGAAATGTTTCCTGTCAGAGTGAGGCTGGGGTTGGGCTGGCATTCTTGTTTCCCTGAGATTCTGTGAGTCTGTGTGTGTCTGTGGATGTGCCTATGCAGGGGAGGGATTCACATACTGAGCAGTTAGAAAGAGAACATGTGTGCTGACCGTAAGTTTTGATGGGCAGAGCCAAGGTAATAAAGGAAAAGAGTGATCAGATAGCATGTAAACTACGTGTTTACTTTTCTTTGTTATTTTGGATGATGATAATGTTTGTTTTCGCCTTAGTTTTTTATACGGATTATTAAATTATCTAATTCCTTTAATTAAGATACATTTAATTGGGACTATTGGAAAGCAGGGAGCTGCTAAGTTACAAAGCTCACACCAACCCCGTCCTGGGATGGATAATCAAGCAGATTATATAGATTTCTTAGTGGAAATTTATAACTCCTTATAAGGCATTTTCAAGTTAATAGATGGGGTCCTGTGATCACTTACCCACTGCACCTTTGCCCTTCCATTGTTGAGAGTCCACCACCTTCTGCACGACATGTTCAGACAATCTATCTAGAGGCAGGACACTAGAGTCCAGAAAGGAAGGAGAATGTCAAGGGGTTATTTGGAGCAAAAAGTGATGAAAGTCAAAGTTCCATCACACGGAGAAGGCCATGTGGCCTCAGTAAGGTTCCTTCAATTTCTGGCATGGGTGTGTATTGCAAATATATTTCCCATGTTTCCCCACTGAATGGACTTTTCTCCATGGCTCTGTTGTTTTGATCACCATAATTCTTAACTTGAACTGAGTTCAAATTAACTTCTCTAACCTCATTCCCAATCTTTCCCCCATTCTACATTATGCTTTCTGGCACTGGACTTCTTTCTTTCTCTCTAATATGCCAAGCTTCTTCCCACCTCAGGACCATTATATTTACTTTTCCCTCTGCCTGGAACATTCTTCCCCCAGGTCTCCTGTGGCCCATTTCTTGGTACCTTTCAGCTCTTAGCTTGGGTGCCACCTCTATAGAGATGCCTTTCCTGATTCGTTTAGCTAAAGTAGCACACTCCATATTTCTACAGCGATTTTCCGAAAACTACAGCTTCCTAAACACAATGCCTTAATGCTATCCTAATTCTATTAAGTAGGATAAGGTATTGCAGTTTTAAGTACCTGCTAGGAATAAGGTACTAATAAGGTACTATAGTTGAAATGTGGGTATATGTTTCAGTGAGACACATGTCCCCAGGGAGAAGTGGATCTGGGCTGCCTGCACATACACACTTCTTCCCATACAGTTTTCATAGAGAGGCTTAAAAAGAAGCCCTGAGGAAATATGATCACGTTGCTAGAAATACCAGCTCCACAGGATTTCGTAATAATACCAGCTCCACAGGATTTCAGAAAGTTTTAAATATTGAGACACAAGTTAGCCAGAAAAGTTTTGTGTCATTGCTATAGTGTAGACCATAAACCTGTTGAACAAACTCATTGCTGTTGAGTCAACTCTGACATATAGCGACCCTATAGGACAGAGTAGACCTGCCCCATAGGGTTTCCAAGGCTATAATCTTTACAGAAGCAGATTGCCACACCTTTCTTCTGCAGAGAGACTGGTGGGTTCGAATGGCTGAACTTTTGGTTAGCAGCAAAGCACCATCAGGACTCCTAGCATAGGCCTTAAAACTGGGTAATTTCATCAGAGCTCCCGGCTCAGGATCTGATACCTAAGAGCAAGATGTGTCACTGAATCTGCCCCGGGACACAGGTTTCACCTAGTACTTCTAACCAGATTTTTCAGGCTGGAACCCTGGGACATGGGACTTACTGCTTCTAGAGGGACAGGGTGGTATTTTCAATAAAGGATAACACTTCCCATTCCTGCCTCGTATAAAACGGGAAGGTAATCTGCTTTGCTGACAGTACACACCTGGAGCTTACTGTTTTCTGTTGTGAACACAGATACAATAGAAATGATAGTGGGTATGGTTGGAAAAAGAAATGGAGGGGATATTCTTGGTTGTTGGTATAAGTTTCTCTAAAAATGGCATCAGTTGCTATAGGGAGACTGCAGTAGGACTGGTGGCATCAGAATATGCTGGGGCCAAAGCTCAGAACAGCACGGTAGGCCTATGCTCTTGATAAACCATAGCCTTAGAGTATGTCTGTCTGATATTTTCTGTCTAATGAATGAAGTAAGATGAGGAGGAGGAAGGCTTGATTTAGGGGAGCAACATAAACTGAAACAGGGATTCAGGCCCCTAAGTGCATCCTGCAGAAAGATGTTTATGGAGCCCCTGCTCTGGAGCCTGTATTCAGGGGGAGAGATCTTGTGAAGGGCACGGGGCTTCTTCTTCAGGCTACCAGCAGAAGGTTTCTATAGCCCTTTGGGACTTAGACTTTGGTCTTAAAGAATTAAAACTAGTTCATGATCTTTCCCTATAAACAATTTTCCCAATCTGACTTTCTTCTGAATGATGAAATGATGGTCCCATCATTTCATAGTCTCTCAAGATCAAAACCTCACTTCTCCTTGCTTCATCATTCTTCCTGAGTAGCCAGTCACCATATATTTTGTTATAAGTTACTTCCATCCTGTTCACACTTCCATGGCCCTGGTCTGATTGTGAATGCCATAGCCAAAAACGTAACACAAATCAATGTGATACTCAGTTAATCTAGCAAATAACAAAAATCTATTTGATAGGAAAGCTGATTTAATAAGCCAAAACCAAACCAGTTGTTGTCAAGTCAGTTCCTACTCATGGCAAACCCATGTGTTGCAGAGTAGAGCTGTGCTCCACAGGGTTTTCAATGCTGTGACTTTTTGGAAGCAGATTGCCAGGCCTTTCTTCTGAGACACCTCTGGTGGGTTTGAACTGTCAACCTTTTGGTTAGCAGTCAAGTGTGTCACTGTTTGTGCCATCCAGGGCTCCTAATTGTATAATATAAAACATTTAAATAGATCCAGATGCTCTTCTACATATTTTATATGTATTAATTCATGTAATTCCCACAAGAATCTTGAGGCAGATACTATTATTACTTCCATTTTATAAATAAGGAGGGAAGAATGATATAACTAGTAAGTGGTTAGGCAGACAGATTTGCTCCAGAATCTATGGTTTTAAACTGCTCATTGCACATGCAACAAATAATTATTGTGAATCTATCATGTAATAGACACTATTATAGGCAATGAAATATAGGGAAGAAACAAGAGTAAAATTCCTTGTCCTCACAGAGCTTGCAAGATAGTGGAGGAGAGAGAGGAAAGAGACAATTAAAAAAAAAAATTGTATGTAAGGTGATGACATATGCTACAATTAAGGGGACCAGAGAAAAATGGCCTATTCTTTCAAGGATGGTGGACAGAATTGGCCACTCTGAGAAGGTGGCTTTTGACAAGGTCCGAAACAAGAACTAGGAACAAGCCCCACAGGATCTAGGGGAAGAAGCATTACAGGCAAAGGAGCTACAAATAAAAGGTAGTATTATACTTGGTGTGTGCTCTAAAAACTGTAAGAACTTCAGAGTGGTTGGATTGGAGTGAGAAGGAACGTAGTAGGAACTGATGCCATTAAGTTAAAGTGAGATCATAAAGAACTGTATAGGCTATTATAAATGGGTTGAAAGTCATTGCAAGATTTTGAACAAAGGTAAAGCAGTTGTCGGGTAAAAGGAGATGATTTCTTAAACACGTGTCACCAGGTCTCACCATCTGTGACTACAAACTGGGACACAGTTGTAGCTACCTCAAAATTATAATGACCCCAATTGGCTTATCTGCACTAGTACAAACTTTAAGTATGTCTCACCTGTCCTTTCTTTCCACATCAGTTACCAAATGACACCTGCCTTGCTTTTCTGTCTCCAGTTCATGCTTGCATTCGCCAACTATCAGTTGCCCACACTATTGCTTGAGGTAGTTTCGTTGCTACTACTGCTGCTGGTACCCATGGTGAGAAGGATGACGTCTAGATCACCTGTTTCTCCCAAAGCTTCTGACCAATATTCAAGTGCGTTTGTGGAGGGATGCTCCATAAAACATGGATGTGACTTAGTTTTGAGCTCTTTGCCTTATTGAATATCCAGTTTCAAAAACTGCTTTGCTTAGTTTCAGTCTCCTAAAGCCTCTTGTGTAGTAACTCAGCCTCTGGCTCTCATCCTTCTCTCAGGATTCAAGAAAGAATCTCTTAACTTTTCCCTCAGTTTCAGTTGGCTGACCAAATTAGCTAATTATGTCACAGCAGTAAATGAAATCACATAGGTTGCAAAGCATTCACATAAACTCAATTTGAACTCAGTATAAGACTTAAAAAAAGCATTCTTAATCCCTGTTACCATTAAAATTAGCCCCACAACACTAGTAGCAACACTTTTGCTTAACACTATATATGATATGCATCCCAGCACCCAGATTCTACATTTAAAGGAAAATGTACTTTAGAGGAAGTAGTTGCTTTCATTTTCTTGTGACAAGAAAAATTTAGACTACTAAAATTCTTCAAATGAAAAAAAAATTCTCAAAATATTAAATAAAAATATTTAGTTACAAAGCAAAAGATGTGTGAATTGTATAAAAACCAAACGTGCTGCAGTCAAGTCGATTCGGACTCATGACCACCCCACGTGTTACGGAGAAAAACTGCTCTATAGAGTTTTTAAGGCTATGACCTTTCAGAAGATTACCAGGCCTTTCTTCTGAGGTGCTTTTGGATGGGTTTGAATTACCATCCTTTCCGTTAGTAGTTGAGTGCTTAACTGCACCACCCAGGGAATATGCGTCTATATCTATATCTATCTATCCCCTACTCTTCTGCCAATCTGTCTTACTGTGGTGGCTTGCATGTTTCTGTGATGCTGGAAGCTATGCCACTGGTATTTCAAATACCAGCAGGGTCACCCATGGTGGACAGGTTTCAGCAGAGCTTCCAGACTAAGAAAGACTAGGAAGAAGGACCTGGCAGTTTACTTCTGAAAAAATTGTCCAATGAAAACATTATGAATAGCAGTGTCTGATACAGTGCTGGAAGGTGAGCCCATCAGGTTGGAAGGCACTCAAAATACAACTGGGGAAGAGCTGCATCCTCAAAATAGAGTTGACCTTAATGATGTGAATGTAGTCAAGATTTTGGGACCTTCATTTGCTGATGTGGCACGACTCAAAATGAGAAGAAACATCTGCAAATATCCATTAATAATCAGAACATGGAGGGTACAAAGTATGGATCTAGGAAAATTGTAAGTTTTCAAAAATGAAATAGAATGCATAAAGATCAATATCCTAGTGTCTTAGTCATCCAGTGCTACTATAACAGAAATACCACAAGTAGGTGGCTTCAACAAACAGAAGTTTATTTTCTCACAGTGTAGTAGGCTAGGAGTCCAAATTCAGGGTGTCAGCTCTAGGGGAAGGTTTTCTCTCTCTGTTGGCTCTGGTGGAAGGTTCTTGTCATCAATCTCTCCCTGGTTGAGGAGCTTCTCAGTGAAGAGATCCCAGGTCCAAAGGACACACTATTCTCCTGCTCTTGCTTTTTGGTGGTATGAGGTCTCTATGTCTCTCTGCTCACTTCCTTCTTTTATATCTCAAAAGATATTGGCTTAAGACACAATCTAATCTTGTAGATTGAGCCCTGCCTCATTAGTATAATTGCCACTAATCTCATCACATTAAGATCATAGAGATAGGATTTACAACACGTAGGAAAATCACATCAGATGACAAAATGGTGGACAATCACACAATACTGGGAATCATGGCTTAGCCAAACTGATACACATATTTTTGGGGAACATGAAATGAACTGGTACTGGCCATTTTGAATCAGACAATAATATGGTCTACTATGCCAAGAATGACAAATCGAAGAGGAATGGCCTCGCATTCATTATCAAAAAGACCGTTTCAAGATTTATTCTGAAATACATTGCTGTCAGTGATAGGATAATATCCATACACCTACAAGGAAGACCAGTTAATATGACTATTATTCAAATTTATGCACCAACCACTAATACTAAGGATGAGGAAATTGAAGTTTTCACCAAATTCTACAGTCTGAAATTGATCAAACATACAGTCAAGATACATTGATAATTATTGATGATTGGATTTCAAAAGTTGGAAACAAAGAAAAGAATCTGTATTTGGAAAATATAGCTTTGTTGACAGAAATGACACTGGTGATGGCATGATAGAATTTTGCAAGATCAATGACTTATTCATTGCAAGTATCTTTTTTCAACAACATAAATGGTGACTATACATGTGGACCTCACCAGATGGAATACATGGAATCAAGTTAACTACATCTGTGGAAAGAGACGATGGAGAAGCTCAATATCATCAGTCAGAGCAAGGCCGGGGACCACCAGTGGGACAGACCACCAATTGTTCATATGCAAGTTCAAGCCGAAGCTGAAGAAAATTAAAATAAATCTACAGGAGCCAAAGTACAACCTTGAATATATCCCACTTGAATTTAGAGACCATCTTAAGAATAGACTTGATGCATTGAACACTAATGACTGCAGACAAGACGAGCTGTGGAATGACATCAAGGACATCATACATGAAGAAAGTAACAGGTCATTAAAAAGACAGGAAACAAAAAAAAAGCCAAAATGGATGTCAGAAGAGACTCTGAAACTTGCTCTTGAACATAGAGTAGTTAAAACAAATGGAAGAAACACTGAAGTAAAAGAGCTGAACGAAGATTTCAAAGGTCAACTTGAGTAGACAAAGTAAACTATTATAAGGAAATGTGCAAAGAGCTGGAGTTAGAAAAACAAAAGGGAAGAATATGCTCAGCTGAAAGAACTGAAGAATAAATTCAAGCCTCGAGTTGCAATAATGCAGGATTCTATGGGCAAAATATTGAATGATTCAGGGAGGATCAAAAGAAGATGGAAGGAATACACAGAGACACTGCACCAAAAAGAATTGGTTGACATTCAACCATTTCAGGAAGTAGTGTATGATCAAGAACTGATGGTATTGAGGTGGGGCCAAGATGGCATAATAATCAGATGCTTCCTGTGGTCCGTCTTACAACAAAGACCCAAAAAAACAACTGAATCGATTATATGTGACAATCTAGGAGCCCTGATCATCAAAGACAAAGTTGAGGAATCGAACTGAGCAGCAGGAGGAGGGAGAGACATTTCAGAAGCAGCGAAGAAGTACCAGTCTTGAGGTAGCCAGCACCCTGCTGGCTGGGTCCGCTGGCGCACTTTGGCCAAGGTGAACAGTAGCGCTCCCGCGGCGTTTCACCAAGTCAGGAGAGACCAGGTGGTGGAGAGTCTGCACAAGCCTCTGGAGCCAGGGGGAAGTGACGCTGGATCTGCGAAAGTTGAGTGCAAGTGTCTAACCTACTATGTGGGATCAAAATAACCCCTCCCCCTCTGGGACTTTCATAGCGGAGAAGTGCCACTTTCCCCTCACCCACCCCCCTCCCCGCTCGGCTCTAATACAAGTCCTGCAGTGTTCAACAATTGCCATGCCCCCTAAGCTGGAAATAGAAACTATCATGCCCAAACCAGTCTCATGGCTTTAGGGAAAAAAAAAGAAAAAAACGCCTTAAGTTCCCTAAGCCAGGAACTCAGGAACTCAGTCTCATGGCTTCAAAACATCTCCACACACCCTAAGCCAGGAACTCAGGGCAGGCATTGCCCCTTTACTTAAGCACTGAC